CAGCCACGGAACGAGACAAAGATCCGAATGCAAGACGAACAGTGAACACCCACAAAATATGAACACTGACAAGGACCCAAAACGGGCACAAAACATACACGGACACAGACATGGAAGTAGATGCGCGGAAAACACAGACATTGATGCAGACACGAACAGGCGCCCGGACACGGACGAGGCAAAAACATGGAAGCAGAATCAAGCGGACGCAGAGGCAGATACCAAACGGAGAGAGACAACAAACTGACACGCACGCAAATGCCGATGTGGTTACAGAAATGGGCATGGACACGAAATGGGCACAGAAACAGATGAGCAAGAGACATGAATGTAGGCATGTATATACACATACGTGCATGTACGCACACAGCTACTACCCTCCGTGGATCTGCCGTTTTCGCGCACGTGACGGAAGAAGCATGCAAAACACATGTGCGTATGAGTCGTTTTGAAAAGTACTCATTCTTGAACACTCACAACCCCTTGCCTGCACTCTTCAGATTCTTCCTTGAGTGTTCTGAAGTTTTAGCTGCGTCTTCCGATTGGACCAGCAAACAAGGCAAATAACAACAAGACTAAAACTTGTCAGCCTTGCTGCATGATCAAAACAAAAAGCATCTCTACATCCCCACTGACCATCAAACGTGTGCAGGTTGAACTGAATGTTGCCGAATCCATTGAACTTTCCAAGCGACTGGCTGAAACTACTCTCATTGGCATGGATCATCCCAACATACCTGTGAGTCGGCTGTTGAATAGAACTATGCTTCTTGAACTCCGTTACTTAAGTCCGAAGCGTACTGACACATTACTAGGCTTGTTGCAGACTGGTTAAATGTTTGATATGCAAAGGCAGCTTTTCACATCAGATGAGACCTGGAAAATGAGGCATCTTGCGCAAAACTTGTTCAAACAGCCAGACAACACATTCTTACCTGTCCTGTGTCTTCTGATGAACGAAACAAGCAACCTGGTTACCAGCACTGTCAATTTCGTGTAAACAAACAAATTCAAGTAGGTCAAGAATGTGTAGCTATGCCAAAATGTTCGTTGACTTCGCCTGATTACATGAGGTGTTCGGTACAAGTGTGTTGAAAGACTTGAGAAGGTTTACTAAATTACTTGAGGGGCAAGGCCAGGCAACGAAAACATGGCGCCCATGCTGGTGGCACAACTGCGAGCCAAAATTGTAGTTTTCATAAACAATACCCAACACATAGAAAACCAAGGCTAGCCAGGCTAGCTTTCATGACTTAACAAAGGCTGGTGTTGCTCATTAGTGCAATTTGGAGAAATTGTTGTTCATGTTTAATACTTTTCAACCGAACCCGATAGGCTAGCCGCCTTCATTTGCGGACGGAAACAGTACGACTTCATGTTTGAAGCTGACAGAGGCTTGCAAAAAGTTGCGGGAGATCCAGCAGCAATGGGAAACTTCACCGCAGGTGCAACAATTTTTTCTGATCAGAAAAAACATTTCCTGGAGGATGGTGTGGCATGTGTACACCGTGGCAAAGAAGACTCCCAAGCCCACAGGTTCTTCCATTGCCCGCATTATCATGAATGCAGACAGGGTTTGCCAATGCAACTCCTGCAGTCGCTGCCGCAGCTTCAAGTGCAGAATGGGCTTTTTCGGAAAGCATATGCCTTGCAACACTGGGAGAAAATTGTCCATGAGATACCAGAGCCTTCGTTTGCTGAGGAGTTTGACGAGCATGTTTTCTTGTTTACAGATGGCTCAACTTTCGCTGCTGATACTGTGCCCTCTAGTGCGTGGGCAGTGGTTCTCGCCGACCCAGAGAAAATGGATGCTACTGTTGTTGAAAAGGGCTGGTTGCGGGGGCCCCAGAACAACTATAGAGCTGAACTTTATGCGGTCTGGGTCGCGATTCAACACTGTGCAGTGGCAGCAGTCTTTGTTGATAATGAGGCGGTTGTTCTCGGCTTGAAAAGGTTGCAATTGCATGGGTGGGAGCATGCCTTTTGGCTGGGACATGACCATCTGGATCTGTGGTCGCAAATTTGGAAGCAGTGGGAACCCAAGGAGCCATACCACCCAGTAACGTGTGTAAAGATGATGTAAAGTTCAAGAAGACTCATAGCCGGCTGGCATGGCATCCATTGTCCAGTCATAAACTTGGCAAGCACTGACAGGAACGGAGGGCACATCATGGCTTCAGTCTCTTGCACTACCTAAGCAGGAACCTGGAAAGGTGTTCCCCAGACACGGTCGCCCACAGAGCTTGTTGGCAGTGCTAAACTGCCAAATTTTTTGGCGGAAAGCAAAATATTCTGCTGCAAGCGGAAACATGAATCAGCTTGCTTTGCTACCCTCTGGAACTCCATTCTCGCCAACACGAGAGCTTGCAACTGATCTTCAGGCCTTTGTTTGCTTTTAGCCACGGCAACAGAATCTGCGACATTGTTGTGATATATCTGCCATGCTTCCTGCCAGGTCCTTGCCATGCTGATGTCCTGGTGGGACCTAACGTGATTGATTGTCCCACGGCTGGTTCCAATCAACCTAGCCTCCTGGAGTCAAATGACGCTGCCAATTCGTTGGAGATGCAAGCCCAATGTCAGAGCCGCATGGTTGCATGAGACTACGTATCAAGACCTGGGTTTTGCTAGACAGAGCCTCAACAAGCAACTTACAACTTGTGGTCATGCACTGAAGAGGATGTTCGCTTCTATGATCAAGACCACATCCCTACAGAATTGTGGGACCAGTATGAAATTCCAGTCCATCACAGCTGTTCCAGCGATTTGCAAATCTTTCCCAAATCTTTTACGTGAACTTGTACAGAAGAAATCACTTCCTGTGCTTGCGAATGCGGTGTTCAATCCACCATCTGCTCCACAGGCTTGTGAAATCGCTCAATTGTCACCGACGATCCTTTGGAATCTTTACTTTTCCAGCCGTCGATAGGCAGGCTCCTGTCTCGATTGGCATCTACCCTCTCACCTAAGGACTTCAGCCGACAAGTCGCCTGAAGTGTTGATCGACCGACTGCATGCATAAATAATAATTTCCATTTTATTTTCCATTATCCCAGTACAACCCCCAATAGTACCCCTATATGGGCTGAGACCAGACCGGCCCGTGCCGCAAAGCTCTTGATTTCTTGTCCGGGCTTTCTGAGCTGTCAAAGATGCGTTGGTGGCAGATATGCTCAGAACAATATAGGGGTACTATTGGGAGTTATACTGGGATAATGGAAAATAAGATGGAAACTGCTATTTAGGGCTTGCTGACACGACTCCGCGCGTAGGGCTTTCTACCAGCGTTTTCGTTGCATTATGTTGCGTCTATGGCCGTCTTCTGGCAATCAAAACCTGTCAAATGAATGCCCATCCTTGAACGCCTATCGAACAGGCACCCTTCCAAGACTGGACTCGAACCAGGTGGTGTCCACATCTGCATACGCGACCATTTGTTTGTGGACCCTCATGGAACCTGACTGAGCCATCCTGTTGAGCAAAATACCTATGAAAGGTTGACAAGCACACTGCTTTCAGCCATCATGTCGAGCTACTGCAACCCAGCAGCTTTCAACAGAAGAACGAAGAATCGCAGTTTTTCTCTAAAATGGGCAGGACCTCGGGGTCAGGTACAAACAATTTCTACTGGAGCTCCACCCCAGCAGCTCTTAAATCCATGGTTCATCCTGTGCTCAGGAGATCCCAAGGCTTTTGGGTACTAATAGTAGTAATAATAGTGATAATAGTAATAATAATAGTAATAGTAGTAATAATAATTGTGGGTACATGGTCCTGTAGGTTCCAATCGTCGGTATAATGCTATGACTTCTGGGGCGCCATGATTAAACCGCAGAAGGTGCGGAAGATGCTGCATGAGGGTAAACCACAGATTGCTCGTCTTGCTCTTCTTGCTAAGTCCCAGGTTAGCCGGAATCGGTGCATGACTGATTATGAGAGTCTCTGCTGGACCAAGCGCGCGGATCCTACCACTAGGCTGGCTTCTGGGCTTGCCAATCAGGTCACAAAACTTCAGATTGCAATCACGGCTTCTATCATTTTTGCCATGCCGCTGGCCGCTACAAGGTTCTCAGAAGAATGCTTAGATGTTGGCAACTGCAAGTCAGCCTGCTAGAAGTGTTGAGTTGAAGACTTACATTATACAATGCATTGCTGCGACTTACGATATATGCGAGGGGTATATTGACTGCCGTCCTGGCCTGCCTATACGAGTTCCTCAGGGACTTGCGGTGAAGGAGCCTTAACATGTCTTGACTCGCTACCGGCTTGGCCACGTACTTCGACTTCCAAGGACTTGAAACACGATCCATGGGCAGGTTTAGAGCAGATTTACAAGGCAGCCCGCATTTTATTGCAAAGGCGTCCTGCTGAGGGTACTTGCACACCTTTAAATCCAACAGCCTGCTTTCAATACTGGGCCCCCTGAATACTCTAGAAGCGTGAAAACGCGCACGACGATTCCTGGCAACACCTAGTCTTGCAAGCAGCACGACCAGCTTCAATTCAAAACGGTCTCATCATCGCAAAATATCGCAAAGCTGAAGCCCAGGGATGGGTAATGACTGAGCGGGTCAAAAGGTTGGCTTGGAGGGTTGAATTGGAGTTGTTGGGCACAGGGCGTGATTTGCGTAGCATCTGCTGCTACGTCTCCATCCCTGGCCTGCTCATCGCTGTGCAAATCTAATAATTCCAATCAATCTCCTCAGCAAGCACTGAACCCACGGCCTGAAACGGGCAGAGGCCACATGCAGATGCAAGCATCCAAATGATATCAAACGGAGCAGGTCGCGGCTGCCATTGTAGCATGAGCATGGCACAGAAGGAAACAAAGATGACTACAGCATCGGTGCGCCTTGAGCAGATCATCCCACCTGACTAGGGCTTAAGCGACTCATTGTACACGATCGCGTGTCATGGTGATTGCCGTGGCAAAGAGTTGTCGTGACCCTGCATGAAGCACAGCGCCGGACGCAGTCAGCAAAATTTTCTTGGCCCCTTGCGAGCACAGGGTTCTCCTTCTCAATAGCCTGCGAATCAGTTTTGTCCAGATGAGGCTCAAGTAAGAAATCTTGAGTCGTGCGCGCTGCTGTGTCCGTCGGCATGTTGTCTGAAAGGGCAGCTTGCAAGGCAACATGATCCTTCGCTTGCGCGAACAAATGCTGACATTGCTAATCTGACCTCAACTTCGCACTCGTGCCAGACATAGCCGCACTAGATGTTCTAGTTTGAGAATGTTCGGCTGCAGGGAGCCATCAGTAGGCTGGACGGGGAGGAACTACATCGGCGCTGAAAATCTTTGACTTACTGGCCCTTGACTGCATTACCGACCTTACCGAACTTAAGATGGTGTTGCGGACTCGCGGAGGGCCCTGAAGTCTCATGCTTTTTGGCTGACGAGTAGTCTGGAAATCGCTGTTCCGTAAGATTGAGCAACCGGAAAACTTTGGCCTGCAGGTATGCCAAGGCTTCCTTGGCAGTCTTGCCTTGCACGAAGAGGTCACACCTTAACCATGTAGCTGGTGCAAGCATGCAGCGCATGTAATTCCACGGTTTTCAGGAAGATTCTGGAAACATGGCTACTTCCTTCCGTCCGCATGCGCATTTGGTGATTCAATTTCCGAGGCAAAGGCAGCCATGTTGGCAAACCGTCTGCAGGACCCACTGCCTTGTCGCGAATGGTCTTGCATACGTTTTTTCCCAGTGGCTCTGGTTTTTAGTGCGAGTCTGGAAGTTTGCCACGTGTTGCAACAGCTCTTGGGTTGATCTCGTCCCACACAGCCAACAGCTTCAATCCTCCCTACGTGAATGACTTGCGCACGTGTGACGGCAAGCATGGCATGCCTACTCCAACAACTCTGACCACACTTGGCCGCCTTTGCGCCAACTCGCGTCAGAGGCTTGGCCCAGATGACATTGTCGCGCTTCTGGAGCTCCTGCCAACACAAGCTTCTTCGCTTGCGCCTTCGTCTCACGAGCTGGAGTGCATTGATGTTAAAACTAATTCAAACCTTTTGGGGCCTGCGCTAAAGTGGTGGGGCACGGCCTCCAGTTTGCTAATGTCAGTGACGGTGCCCGACTTCATTGCATTGACCTGGAATGCCGAGGGAAAGATTGGAGGCGTCGAAAAGCTTCAAAATCTTCAACTAGGCGGGGCTGCATAGCAGTAGGCGGTGCCCGACACTGGCTCCCGTGGAACCTTGGTGGCCGGCTTCTTGGATCTTTGCAATGACCAGCTAGTACGAGGTCGGCTCCCCACTTGGTCAATTTCACCTGCCCTTGCATTGGGCTGCCCTAAGCATGCTGCAGGCATGAAGGCTTCTGTGGACCCAACAAAAGGCCGGGATGGAATACCCAGCGCGACAAGCATGGTCTCCTGCAGTTGTTGCTAGGTCAAAGCGAGGCATTGCACTCTTGAACCACCTCTTGCAAAACGCCGGTTCAGTGCACACTTTCAATACTCTCGGTGAGATCAGCTCCTCTACAAGGCAAACGCCCCAAGTCAAGCGATTGCACTCGTGCACCTGTCCTGGTCACAGCTTGATTGTTTCTCAGCTGAAGCAGGAAAGCAGGAGGAGAGTCAGCCAGGCAAAGTTGGAGGCATGGTAATGGATACAGACAACAGCAGGTGACCAGATTGGATTTTCCACGCTCGTGCTTGTGAACAAGCCTCCTCCCATTCTGGCATTGACCTGCCAAGATTTGCTTGAAGATAAGATTAGCGACCCCGAGCATGCAAGCAAGCTTCGGATCTGGCAAGCTTAAGCTTGGCTTTGACTTTTTGCAACCTACTTGAAGTATGCGTCTGCCCAGCTTCTGACTCACAACCTATAGCTGCACTTGGTATACGCGTGCTGTATAGTGAGACCTCGATCAACTGCGGGCCGTGGGAGGTGTACTTCAACCTGTCAGAGTAGCTGCCGTTGTCTGTGGTACAGGCTGGGACAACCGTCTCCATATATTCGCTTGAGTCTTTGAGTGCGGGGCTGGCTATGAACTGTTCTCAGGGCCCGACTCCACATGGAAGACCCCAGCGGTGAAGCCGAGAGCCTTGATACCTGAGGTCTGGGACACAGAATCCCTTCATTTTAGCACCAACAGCCAAAAAACTGACTACAGACAAGCAATGAGGAGCATGGCAGTTGCCATTGCTGCCGTTGTTGAAACTTGTAAGGCCACAGCACTGCACTCCCAAGTCTCTGAGTGCCACCTGCTGGTCCTGTTGCACGGAGTTCTGCAGTAATGCATTCGTCTTTTCACCGGGTGGCCTTCATCTTTGACCAACCCATACGGTGTTCTCAGAACCGCAGGTACTGCTTCCAGTTGAAAGTCGGATATGAGATCAGCTGACATCTGACACAGCCTGCAAAGCATGCTACTGCGAAGGCCGCGGCTGTCAATCCCATCCGCCCTACCACGCACTACGCATGTGTACCTGTGGCATCCTGCGGATTCATGTTTCTGTTGGGGAGATTTCCACACCAAAAGCATCAAACAAAGGTGTCCTTTGGCAGGAGCGAGGGGCAACATGCCCAAGTCCTGGCAGCTGATAGTATACTTGAGTATGTTATAGTATGTTATACACTGCATCCAGCTGACCGCATGGGTTCTGACCACAACTCGCCGAGCAACTTGGAGCATGCATCGATCTAGAAATGCAGCATCTCTGTCACATGCATGACCTTTGCCAAAGGCCCCAGCTCGTTGAAGTATGGCTCCAAAGTTGGGCCGTTGTCTGCCACGCAGGCATATACATACTCACCTGACATGGTGAGTTTGCCAGAATATCATGGATCTAAGGTTTCGTCAAGACAAGATTTCGACTGGTCCCGATGCATGCTCGCATGTAGACTCGCTAAGCTGGACTGCAATGGCTGGCCACAGGGTGCCTTTTTTACAATAAATAAATGACAGCACTGTCAGAGAGTCTGTAGCTGTTGGACGCGACAGCGAGCATCTGCAGCTGTCCAGCATCATGCTGCAGCGCCTGTTGCTGCTAGCTCAAGATTTGTACACTATCAGGCCCGTGCTTCTTGCACAGAGGCAAACAAGGGCAAAGGGATCTACCGCTGATCCGCTAAGCTACGCGAAGACGGTGTGGTTTCCTGCCGCGTGGCTTGCTGAACAATTTACTGCCTAGCAGATAGAGAGGTGGGAAAGGTAGTGGCCCGCTTAGTGCACATCACTTTTGGCAGGACATGGGAGGACCTATTAAGCTGTAAGCAATGCATTTCGTTGGCCTTTCTAGTAAGCGACGATGACCAGCGCCAAGCTGAGCCTCAGTCATGCTAGCTCTGCATGCTGTCTTCGCAGGAATTTGACACCTTGATTGTCTGAAGTCTTCCAAAACCAAATTTGGACAAGGGGCACAGCAAGTCCCATGCCCCTGAGTTGTGTTCCATCAAGCCAAGTGCGCACATGGACAACATGAACCTGAACCCTGCACCCGCGCGCAGCCGCGAGAGGAATCGCCAAGACTTAAACACAAAACCCCAAACATCCCCAAACACACCACAAAAGATTATCTGGCAAACGCTTTATGGCTATCGAAAGCTCTTGGTCATTCACTGCAGCTTAGCATCAGCAGCGTGAGGAGCCCAAACGGCATGAACTTCCTTGGTTCTGGAGCCCAAGCTAGATCCGTATGATCTGTGGTGGTGCTAAGAGCTGCCCAAGAAAATCTTCCCTGACTGCCATGCGCTCTCTCGCAAGCATGGTTGGTGACGCCACGCGGCTTCCCGGGTGCAGCCGCCAGAGGCTCGCTCAGCTTCTCCTGGCACATGGAAGCCATGCAAAGCAACGCTTTGGCAAACTTTGAGATGCCCTGCGGAAGACACCATAACATGAGCAAACGGCAGGATGACGCCGGTGTTGCTGCAGGGGCAGTCACTCGCAGCAATCAAAGTCCCGGTTTAAATCAACCCCCCATGCTGAATGTCCACTGCTAGCACTTGCACTCCAGGCTTTACTAAATGTAAGGTATTGTCCAGGCACCTCGGTCTCACCGGATTTGTTGTACTTCTGAAAGAACATTCTCACCCTGCACCGGCATTGCACGATCAATCAAGGACAAGCATCAACTTGGAATGCGCTGGGGATGAGCTTCATACAGCCTGACCACTTCTAGCCAAGGCACAGTATGAGGCTAAAGCACACCATCACAGCTCCTCCAATGACCGCGTCCTTGCAAGGGAGCACCACATTCTGGTTCTACCCACAACGACCATAAGCATCACATGCCCGGACGTCACTTCACTTAGCGGTCTGTTCTCCCGGCAAGGTGGGCCCACATCTATTCACTGCATGATGAGCGCTTTCTGCTTGAATTCCAAGTCAAAAGACTATCCTGTCATTCGTGTGATGCAACGCCAAGCTGGATCTGGGCATGGCTCCCTAGCTGGAAATCCAAACTTCCTCCGCACCTTCTTGGCTGTGAGGTAAACCACACCAATCAAAACCAAACTGACGATCGTGCTTGCCTTAGACTTGGGCAACGCAAGCCCCTGCAATTGCCTGCATGAAAGATCACGAATGTATTTGCTGCAAGCAGTAAATGCACTTGTCAAAAAACGCAGCTGTCTGCTGTTCAGGTACAATTAATGAGGCTTTGCTCTTGGCTTTCACGAAGCCCATAACGCCACCGAAGAGCACCAAGCATGCGTACCTTGCTTATCTTCAAAGACTGCACTGCGATGACAATGGCTCCAGCCTTTCAAGCCAAGCATAGCCAAGCTACAGTACGCTGTAGGCAACGAAAGCGGTTGTCAGGTCCGCTTTTGCTGACGTCTCCGACATGACACCCGCACCAAGCTACTGCGAAGCAGCTGTGCCGGATCTGTTTGGCTCGAGCCACCTTTAACATCAACGAGGCTTACCAGTGATTTTCTACAATCTATGAAAAGCCGCAACCTGCGCAAAAGGATCGCCTGGAGTCTTCAAGTGCACAGGGGTCCCACAATTGTGTGGGATTTGTGGCTGGCAATTTTCGTGACTTTCACATTTCGAAATTTCATGTGTAGTAACTCTCAGCACGCAAGCAGTCCCTTGCCGGTCAAGATCGATGTGCTGGCCGGTGGTGAAATCAAAAGGTACATCCCAAACTCGTGGCAGGGGCTGCCCTCGGACATCACAACCTGGAGCGAGGTGCAAAATCACCACCTACTCAGATCATGTTAACCAAAACATCATTTATTTCAAGCTGTTGTGTGAAGCTGCAAGGAGCTCTGCATGTGTACGCTCGAAACAGTGCCTCTTTACTTGTTTTTTTACATCACCTCGAAGGTGAAGCTGGCCGAGGAGCATCGACATCTACTTCAGGACCATCCAAAAACTGCTCCATCAGCACTGTCAGGTCGACTCCAGACTGCGGAAGGAAGCGGTGAGCGATGTATGTTGGGAAAGCAAAATCATGTTCCTTGCAAGCCTGATCTGAGATACTCACGCCAACAACGAAGCTGATTCCAGAAATGCATCCTTTGCCTTGTGTATTGGGTTTTTCAAATGCCATGGCCTCTTGCGCATTCCGTCCCGCCGCATCAGGGCTGCCTCCCACAGCCAGAGCACACGAACACTGCAGGGAACAACTAACACTCGACGTGCGGCATGCAAAACAACACCAAGCAGCGCGAAAACGAGCATAACGCTACCATGTCTCGGATGGTCTCATGCATGTTCTCCAAACCCCTTCCTCAGAAGCACGTTTGGCAAGTTCCTCATCTTGAAAGCGCAAACAGTTTCTTGCCAGCATGCTGTGCTGCAAGTTCTCTAGCCAACCTCCCTTTGTTGTTTTCCTGTCTGATGAGAGGTTTGATCCGGTCTCTGAGACTTCAGGCCCTTCCCATGAGCCTTGCACCAGCGCTCCTGATGATACCTCAGCCAACCGCGGGCTACTCAATCTATTTGAGGTAGAGCAGCGCTAAAGGAGATTTTGTCAAAGTAGGAGTACCTAAGAACCTCAAGTGACATATGACATATTATACAGGGATGGAACGGGTTGCGAGGGATCTTTTTGAAAAATGTCCGCAAAGCCAGGAATTACGAGCCGCAGTGTGGTCAGGACTTTCATGCTTGAGGGGATGCACAGATGCATGTGTCCCCTATGGCGGCTATATAGGCTTCAAGGTGACTACCAACTTTATGGATTAATTAGGGTTATGGGATTTTTATGGAGTTACATAGGGCCTAATGGAAAATCAAACGGTAAATAAAAGGGAACATGACGTGGAAATTGGGATTGCATACAGGATTTAGCTACTTGGAGCACTTGAGCAATATCAAGTGTGTCAGAAGATTTGCCGACTGGGATTCGCACGACAAGAGTGGAAAGCTCGTCCACAATCTCTTGATAGCACCTCCGCTCATTGGCTTACTATTATGGTTTAGTATGACGCTTGTTTGTCCGTTTGGCGATAAATGTTGAGGATTGGGCCTACGCACCCCCATATGCCACTGCAAGTGCCGTGGCATTCAGACAGTTGACACTGCATGCGTTGAAAAACCAGCGCTCGCGGTGACTGGCAAAGTTCCACACTTTCCACAAACTATTGTCTTTGGGGGCACGGGCATAGGTTAAAAACCTGGATGATCTGAAAGTTGAACTCCCTCTCGGTGCGGCACTTCTCCATCTCCACAGGATTCGTGACCTTTTTCACTCCCAGCGAAGCTGCGCCGGACCTTGGCGTTGCGTTAATCAGCGGATACTAGTCCGTCCAAAGGGCAGCCCCTGCCCACTTCGGTGCATGGGGAATCTTTAAGACTGTCAGTCTGGTAGCTTCATGCAAACAACGCGCTCTTAAGGTCTCGACACAGGTTTTAAGACGGCGGGAAAGCCGACCTTGGCACACTGTGCGGGCAATCCGTGTAACACAGATTACTTCTGCAGAAGGTAGTCTTTCCGGACACACTTACTAGTAACTGATTGGTGACAAGATAAGTCCATGCCTCCAAAACGTTTGGAATGCTGTATTCTGTTTAGCTAGAATGGGATTATCGAGGTGCCGTCAGGTTGCTGGTTCTGTTGCCATAGATACGGCATCAAAAGCTCGTCAAGATCTTGTTCGTTGTTGCTGTGGTCGGGGCAGTCTGGCCTGCTTCCTTGAGCTTCGATTTGTCATCAATGAGGAAATTCCTTGCAGAGTTTGGGTTTGTCCACGCTTGACTGATGCATACAATCAGTTGTGCGCTCTGGTACCCTGCACTACCTAATCCGCGGCAGGGGCCTCGGGGTTGGTAGCCCAGCTTGCTTCAAGCATGCTCGAGTGGCATGCCTCAGAAGACGTGTGCCAGACTTATATGAAATTCGTGTCGAAGCTGCTTCCTCTCTGTGCGGAAATTCGGTTCGGCCGCATGTAAGCATCCTCCATGAAACCAATATCTGAAGCAGTCGACAAGGACATGAGCACCTGCGAGTTTGATTGGGATCTCGAGGCATACTCTTCATGTTCATAGGCCTGCAGAACCTGCAAGAGATGCAGATATGATGAAGGATCATGCGGATTTCGCCACCCTTGATTCTGCCACCCTATGTCCGCTTCGCCGAGTCGGAAGTGCTGCGGCTGTTGAATTGATGATTTCAGACTGAAACCGTTTTGCGCAAGTATTTGGCAATGTGCACAACAAGCTGCTCATAACATGTGCTGTGCTCCGCTCCGAGAAAGCAATACTGAAGATCTTGGGACAGCTTGGTACACATCTGGCAGACTTGCGAATCACGTATTCGAGCTTCAGATGTGCCCGACTTTGCGAACGCGCTAATATGGATCTCAATCTTGTTGGCGGTATTGCCCTCGTTCTACTGCCCGGCAGCTGCTGCCATACTGAGCTCGCTGCTTATTTCGTGCTGAATCCACGGCTGCCGGCCTCAAACCTGCGCATACTCTACTAGCATGCCTGCTTGGAACGAGACTGATGTTGCTCTTCAAAGGAAGCCCGACTAGATGCTCAGGACTTCCGGAACATGCGGCAAAAAAGGCTGGACGCGCAATCTCCAGTGCAGCCACGTGCAACTTTTTCTCAATTCGGAATCCAGACCGGAAGCTGAGTAATGCAAGTCCTCAGCTCGTCCTCAAGTCACTACGCAACATAATAGGGTAGATATTGGGGTTATGTTGGGATAATGAAAAATAAAATGGAAACTACTATAGAGGGATCATGGAAAACAACATGGAAACTAATAATGGTCAGAACCTGGTCAACCGTTTCTCTCTCTGCGGCCTGGCAAGCCCAAAGCCTCGGCAAGGCGTGCTGCAAGGGGCACGGAGAGCTCCACAAAGGTGGCCTGGGTGACTGTACGCTATGTCGGAATGTGGGGGTTTCCCAAAATTAGGTGCACCCTTTTGGGGGGTCCCTATAATAAGGATTTTGGGGTGTGGATATTGTGGTTCCTATATGTAGGGAAACTACCATGTCATGCTAAGGGCTTAGACCAAAGCTTGGTGTGTCCAACGTTGTACGTGATCTCTGGGTGTGCTAAAGGGCTTACTCCGACTTAGTTGAAGGCGCAGAGCACCTGTGCATGGATGCAATGCGTGTGGGAGTGAAGGGGAAGATGGCATCCCTTGCACACTGTTGTAATTCTGAGATTAGAGAAACTTCCATGGTGAAGCAGACGGGTTATGGCTGCACATGCAAGACTACGGCCAGCATAGCTTCGGTGCCATCTGCTACATGTGCGGCCAAGCTGCGATGCCATCCGCAGGCCCAGTGAGACCATCCTTCCGGCAACCGAAGCAGAGTGAAGTAGCACAAGTGCTCCATCCTTCTAGCAGCGAGTTGAAATGCAAAGCTCTCCGCATGCTCGGTCCTCACCCAAGGTTCTGATGTGCTCCAGAGCCCTCAGTATTTGCTTGCTTACAGGCTCCATGGCGGACGTTTATGTGGCGCAAGTCATCCTTTCCTCCTTGGATATACTGATGGTAGGTTGCATACACGCTTCGCGTTCTCGAGGAGCTGGTGAGCCTGCTGGGGGCGAGGCTCATTGAAGATTTCCTCTGAACCTTGCGTCATGTCGACCTTGTTTCGATTGACATGCTTGACTCACTCACACCGCATCAGGACAACACCTAGGCAACTCTCTCAGTCCGCGACGGGAATAAATTTAGCCGCGAGGCCCTCATCTACGAGGCCCCTGGCCACAACGACTCAGTGCAAGCAATTGCAGGGTTGTGAGTGCCTCCACTGAATCTGGTCTTGTATGCATGTCGTTGCGCTTCGGCGTTTCGTCCACATTCTGCTGCCCTATCCCTAAATCAAACAACGCAGGCCCTGTTGGGAAGTTTCTAAATTTTTCGACGGTATGTTCAAGCTGGTGCTTGCCCTCATACGGGCTTGTTTGCGACATGACGCACGGGGCGAGCTGAACAGAAAGGACCCTGTCGTCCCAGGGACCGAAACAAGATGGGATGATACATGGGCCTGCTCCAGGAATCAGGGTGCTCCAAGATCACAGGCTTGATCTCAGCATGTGGGTAAGGGACATTTTGCTCAAGTAGGCAGGGGCATGATATTAAAGCTAGATGTGGTGGCTCTCTTCAGGCAAATTCTGGCCACTGAGGCCCGATTGCGCTTCAACATGCTTCAACCGCTATGAGGCAGGGACGCCAAGCGATGCTGCAATCTCGAAGGTAAACCTGCAAGGATTCTGCTAAAGGGCCAGCGACCAGGTGCTAGCAGGTCGTGATGCGCTTCTTTGACCAAAATATGCCGCGGGAAGCAATGTTTCAAGCTACCGTATCGTATCATAGAGAATAATCAGTAGGCCAGGTGCCACTGTGCCCCAGCACATTGTTTGCCAGTGTAACTGTTGCCTTCAGGATCTCAATGGTGGCAAGATGCGCAGAGTATACCAAAGTTAGCATGCTCAGCCCGCACTCGTTTGCGACAATCCTGCCTCTTCCCGGGCAGGCCAGCAGTCACAAAGACCACTGTGGCACCACGCATAAGCTGCCTGATTCGTTGAACTTCTCTTGAACGGTTGGCTGGAGAATGCTAGAATGTTCAAGATCACAGGTCTGAGTTATTGCCTCTACTTGCCTCTAGGTGAGTGACATTCGCACTTGCAATGCAGCCTGACCTGCACTGGCTATGAAAGTCAGCATCTGCGTCTGCAGTCCCCAGGCTAAACAAGGCCCCAAACCGGTAACTTGGTCCAGGATCTGAGGCTGACTTCACACTTCTGCACTTCTCTGCCTTCTGAGCTTTTTGGCTGACTCATCTGCCGAAGTCAGCAGCTTTTTCGGCACCTGTCGAGGCTCCAGTTCACAATCCGCATGTCTCTGGACTTCAGGCTCATAAGGGATGTGAAGAACGCAGTGAAAAGAGGAGTAATTCGTGCTTACATAATGGTCGTATCGCTCTGCTTCTTAGTGCCCTCCTTCGCCAGCATCTGGAAGGTTGCTGTGGGCAGCAGCTGCCGGATGGCTTCCTGCAGCACAGCTCAGGGTAATTATTATACTATAATATACTATATTATGCTATAATCTAGTATAACACAGTATAGTATAGTATAAATAGTACATTATACTTCGCCTCCTGCCTGCCAGTAGAGAGGTAAGGTTGAAGGGATAGTAGCTTGATGGGATCACGAACGCACCTGTGGAAAGCGGCAAGACTAGCCCGCGAGCGCTTTTGTTTCATCATGTCTACCCACCATGAAAAAGGGACCAAGCTTTCCTCCAAGGATTCCTCTAATGATTCGGGATCTCTCTTTCAGCCAAGATGCCAACGGCCCAATCTTTAGTCTAACTGTTGCTGCTGGTACGCCCACAAATTTTATTACTTGCTCGACCAGAGATAGGTTTAAACCCGGGAACCAAGGTAAGGTCAGGATCGGAAACCCTCTGATGCATATGGTCCTCCCGCTGATCCGCTGTCAGTGGTGGCGGCAGCCGTCCAGGAGATGCCAGCAACATTTCTTTTTCAAACCTCCCACTGCTACGAAAGCAATTAGGAAAAAGGGATTTCATTTATGCTTTCCAGCAGCCCATGCAGGCGCAGCTTGTCCAGCCTGCTCCGCTCGCGATTCTGGCCGGCAATCCGGTCTGACGAAGAGAGAAAACTCAACATGAAATCATTGTTACCGTTCGTTCAGGTAGTAGCATGTTACCAAGCCATACTGTAACTTCCGCCAATAAATGTAGCAATTGATACGGCAGCCATCATCTGCAAAGCCAGCCCTGCATGCTTAATCATGTTGTAGTTTCCATGTTCTCTTCTATTATCCCCATATACCCCCCCAAAACCGCTATGCACCCCCCTATCGAAAACGCGTCTGCATCTGGGGGCCCAGCTGGCAGGTATGTCCGTGTCGATCGTCTGCGTTCCTGTGTTATGCCATGAAGGGATGAAGGAACGTCTAGATATACATATGTATATACAGTATATACATATATAACTATATAATACAGGGATAATGGAGAAGAAAGTTTAAAGTACTGTATTATACCAGGATCTGTATATGTTCATCTCACTACTCTGCGACGTACCAAGCATTCATAGCACCTGCTGCGCTTTGGTCGAAGGTGCGGAAATGGCCAACACGAGCAGAGAGCTGGGTCTCTGGCGGGGCTTTGAATTTGCAGCATCTTAGCATCAGGAATGCTGCATTTGCGTTCTCTGAAGTCAGTCTTGGTCCAAACCTTCGAACCTATCTTACCTTCTGCATTTGCAGTGGCTTCTTGCACATTGCTGTCCAGTCTAACAGCCCACGAACATGAGTTGCCTAGACCTCCCTAGTCAGCTCCCTTCTTGATCCATGCTTGCCCTTTCCGGCGCTGGTGCAAGCTTGAAATCCTAGGATGATGACTCGAAGACAAGCATAATCTACGGACATTTCTCCGGGAGCCTTCCTTGACAGCGTGCCCAATCTAGCTGGTCCTGGAGCAACAGCCCCCTTCCAGGTGCCAGGCTGCCGTCATCGATATCTATGACTATGTCGAAGTCGACAGGTCCGTCCTCAACAAATTTCGCTTCCAACCCATATCCGCAAGTTTGTTGGATGCTGAAGATCACCTGTGTGGAGTGATGAGCAGAAATTGCATGGACCAGCAGCACAAACAGAGTTGTGCATCACGACTGACTTGCTCGAAGAGCTGACCCACAACCCTCCAACCTCTTGCAGTATAATCTGAGCCGCGGGGCAACAGAGACTACAGACGGTCGACGCCGTGGGATCGGCGATGCCTTGTGACCCATGTCGTGGCTTTAGCATGGTCCAGCAGTGAATTGAGGACAGCAGCAAGTGTCAACGCATCAAGGTATAATCTTAGAGGGCTTGCCGAGTGTCTACTTGGCCACCCAGCGAAATACAACAGGATGGATGGCCCCGACCTCTCACAAGTGTAACAGCCCAGTGCTGAGATTTGTGCCCAATCGAAGGACGTCTTGGGAGATGCCCTGGCAGCAAGCAGGATACTTCTAGGATCTTCTAGGTGACAAATCAGATGTGCTAAAGCGCTGAAGCACTGGGCCCCAAGCTGCCACGTCCCTTCTCGGGATCTCTCCAGCTGCAGAGCCTTGCAAGGAGGGATGGCCATACGCCTACTTCGACCATGGGCCGTCCAAACTTCCAAACTGAAAGACCAGGACCGGCCTCCGTATACGTACTCACGGGCCGCGGTTGCTTCTGCGGAGAGCCTGCTTTGTGTTCCGGGAAGCTCGCACAGTTTGTGCCATGAATTACCATCACTATGCAGAATGTAGCTCAGAACATCTTTCTAGAAGTGTAGTTTGCTGGTGGGCTTCATGCACGCTACTTGGCATCTGTAGCTCCGGAGGCGCGGCGTCAGCGTCAGAAACGTCAATCACTGAGGTGCAAACTGTCTGGCCGGAGCTCATGCCCTTTGGAAAATATGCCTCACAGACTTCATCTTGTGGTGAGGTCACAACGCTGGGAGGAGGCGTCTCTGAAAACCAGCCGAGCAACCTTCAAAGCAACCGCCACAGCAGCTCATGACGCAAACCACCGGGCCGGGCGCACGCCCAAAACGGCAGGGTCTGAACCAAAAGCTGACAAGGGGATCGCGTCGAGAATTCAGAGGACTTATCCAAGGTCGCGCATCTTACAAGCAGCTAGCTTTGACCGTTGGATGTGCGCATGCTTTTCTGATCGCTGGCAGCGTTGCTTGACATCCAGTCTCTGAAGCCTTCATCAATATCATTGTAGCCATGCTCCCGAAGCTGCTCACGCACAGCATTGGCGTACCTTTCCGGGGCCCAGGCTAGTCTCTGCCTAAATGCCTTCTTGCCCTCTTCCTGCTTGGGCCAAGATCTGCCTACTATTGTCTATTGACTGTTCTTTTGTTTGTAGCTTCAGTATAAGCCGAGTGGCCATCGCAGGTAGCTATCCATTGGCTTCACGGAAGCGACTCCTGACGTTGGCTCCGCTTCAGCTTCAGGAACTTGCATGGGCACACACTCGAGTTCTGAAGTTAAAGTGCTGCCTTCTCTTCTTCCATGAGGCAACCATGCAGCCAAGTGTCGCTTCAGGATGAAAATTTCGTACGCATCGCTTGCGTACTTGCCTTGGGCGGGACAGGCTGCGTTGTGGCTGCTTGCTGTTCACATCAAGGTCGGTTTTCCCTTCTGAGATGCAAGCCCACGCCATGAAACCTGCAAGTCTCCAACAGTTTGCCGGGACTTTTTATGATTTGCGCTACAGGCGGGCCTCTTGACAGTCATGCTAGGCCTGATGCTTGACTGGTCTTCAAGAGAAGGGCCGCCTCTTCACGAGCTCCAAGGGTATGTTGCCATCTGCTTCTCTTGGTGCCTTGGCAGTTTGGATAACATGTTGAATGATTTACATGAAGCCAAGGTCATTAGGCAGAGCATGCAGGCGAGGCGTTGCTCTCATTGCGAAAGAAAGTAAAAACACGCACAAGAACCACCAGCAACAGAAAGCACATTGCCTCCAGGAACTCAGTGCTGAAACGCCGTAGCATCCGAGCCTCGTCTGCGCATGGGCTCATGGGGAGCAGATCTCATAGCGCGGGGCATGGAGGGGGATGGCCTGAAACCTTGGGTTCTGAGGGCAGGACACGTTTTCGGTGCAGGCCAAGAGGAAGGAACACCCTGCCAACGTCAGATCTGAACATGAACTTGCTTTTCAGCATCTGCTTTCACGTCCACGACGCGCGACGCCGACAGTGTTGCGTGGCATTTTGGGATACCTCATAACAACTCTGTAGCATCATATGCATGTAGTGACCAGTACAGTTCCCCTCTTTTGTCAAGTCAGGCTGAAAGCCCGAGAGCCACAGAGAATCATGATCCAACAGGCCTATGCAGCACGTCAGGTGCTGTTGCCAGCAGCTCATGTGGGCCTACCGTTGGCATGGCAACTGTTTGCGTCAAGCCGTGGTGACTGGCAGTTGCCTGGGCAAATGCTCAGAAACTCGGGCAAGACCCGATCAACGGCCTTGGCAAGCAGTGCTAGTTCAGATGCTTAACTTATCTTCACTTACGGTAACTCGACCTTGTCAAGACGACCTGAGGAGCAAGCCAGCCTGCCTGTCTTGTTGAGCAAGACACAAGTAACCTGGACAAGGGCCATCACGATTTGCATATATACTTGCAATTTAATCAGGTTCGGCTGTCCAAGGAAGAATCCCGGCCAAAAAGTTGCAGTACTGACAGATCTTCTTATTGAAATGCTGAAACACGATGAAACACGGATCAAGGTACCAGCAGCTGCCATGGGTTGTCTGCCAGGAGTTCCTCCACGAGCCCGAAGGGGCTCTCCAGGACCTAGGCGCTGTGCTTGAAGTTTTGATAATCTGTCTAGCTCAGATGCGACAGTTCTCGGATTTAGGAATTCTCTACTTTGTTCTGCAATGTCTGTAATTTGGAGGTAAGGTGGTGCAGCAACCTTCAGACAACGTAGCTGCTTTTGAGATCGAGCTGGCTGCATGCCTCCTACCTGGCATAATTCACACCTTGCTGTCGTGCAGTACCCTGCTCAGCAAGGAGGCGTGAATTGATTTGAGCTGCGACGCCACTGATCAACAAAGGAGGCTTTGTTTGTCAACTTGTAAACAACGAAAAGCCTCCACAAAGCTCGGAGCTGCTTGACAGCCAGCAGCCGGAATGGCATCTTTGTGATATCGGTCGCACAGCGCAGTGGAAATCCCGGATGCTTGGGACCCCTTCAGCGCCGTGGGAGGTCGAGATGGGCCCAGGATCCGGTTTTTCACTGTGTCAGAGGTCGAAGATTGTGGTTGCGCCGGTGGTCGACTAGGGTGCGGAAGGTCTCTGCCTGACAGGGATGTCCAAGATGCACGACAAAATGTAAACTTGTTGCAGGGCTTCTGTGGGCAGTGACCTTCTGCGGGAGCTTTCAATCTGCAAGCTGTGCACATTCACTTCCTGCCTCCAGCGCCGACAGGGCCCAACTTTGCTGGCCTCCATTCGCGGTGCTTGGCTTGGCAGTGCAGATTTTGCAACTCCTTTGTACGCTCTTCCGCTCTGCCTTCTGAGGAACGAAACCGCAGCTCGCAGCACTGCGACGTGCTGGGGCCTTGCTGGCAAAGGCAGCAGTTGGGAATCCAAAGCTACCTTGAAAGGCACCAGGCGGGTGGAAGCCCAGCAGCGGCAGGCAAGTCGCCATGATGCATCCGCATCCTCCCGAGAACTACAATGACTGTCCCAAGCAGGCTATGCACGGCTACATTGCAGCTACATGTGCCGCTGACCATCCTCTTCCGGCAGTTCGTGTAGCACCTTGCAAGGAGAGCTCTTGGCTGATCTTGCGGTGCATGGTCGCAAAACAGGTTTAACGCTGCGCTGGCCATTTTGATTCATCCACTAAGCTCATTGCCTGTCGGTTGCTGGACGATCTGAAGTACGAGGGCACCTAAGCCAAAGCTCCCAGACACTTGCAGTGCAACAGCTTCCCTCGCAAAACGATGGAAATGAAGCTGATACGTGACACTGTGCACTTGAAGAGATGGACCTCAATAGAAAGCGCTGCCTGATTTAATCAATGGCGCCCAGTCCAGGTATGCCACTGTGCTAGCAGCGTTTGCGCGGAGGTTCCTTGCATCTGCAACTGGCATCTGTGAGTACTTATTGACTGGCTCACTGATCTTCAGGCTGTACTCGAGAACTACTCAAGTCCCCCAAGGCCCAGGGACAGTGTAAGGGAGAATATCAGCTTGTTCATCGCCTGCATCACATTTGCACATGCCAGCAACAAACAATATCCTCACAAAGCTTCATCGAGCCTGGTTAATTTCCACCTCCAAATATGACGGATTCGTCAGTGGGGCTGGCCAAGCTAAGGGAGGTGGGAAGCGGCTCCTCAGGGCGAAGTTCATGCTGTGAGGCTCTTTGCTCAATTGTGGTTACTAGCTCCGGCCTGCAAACTCCGAGCCAGCGATGGCAAACGGAGCAAAGGCGCACCTGCTTGCTGCTCTGTGCACGTGTCAAAGAGGCGCTTACAGTCGGAAAGGTTCTCGCATCGACTCTACATCTGAGATTCGGACCCGATTGCTGGACATCCTGCGCACGAAAGGCATCGCCCCCCCCGAACATCCCAAAGGGCAAAAACACAACTTACAAGTGTCAACCGCAAGAGCACCACTCACATAAACAAAGCTGACCAACCGGGACGAAAGAAGTATGATGATAAAAACCAACGCAGCAATAGCCCTGGACAAAAAAGTGTAACAGTGGCGCACACGTAGCAGGAACAAGGAGAAGGCAAAGGAAGGGCAAGAACATATGCTCAAATAATGGAGACAAGCTTCGAGAGGATGAGCTGAAGCAATTCGTCATCACCGTCTCCAGTCGAACCTTGCAAAGCTCTACCGAAATGCCAAGCTACAGCAAGGCAACTTGTTGTCAAACGCTGCAGCACCGGAAGACACAGGACACCTTCTCTCGGGTATCTAACTTTCCAGATCATGAAAACCTTCTGCTGCATGTGATTCTGCGCCTGCGGCAAGCCAAGGAGTCTCCATCTTGGCACAATTGCGCGCAGCCTTCGGGAACGCAAAGGCACATCATCGGCCGATGGTAACTGTAACACTTTGTTCTTGGTCTGCAAGTTTAGAAGCTCGCTTCATGTTCTTGGAATTATTTGACTAGTGACGACTCCGCAGAATACTGCAGCGTTTGCATGAGTTTCTGCGTGGGCTTGAGCCACAAAGATAACGCTTCTTCAATCTTTATGCTTGCTGAGGATACTCTGCAAAACCACAAGAAACAAGCTGCAAACCACCTGTTTTCTCTCAATTTAAAGGTGATCGCTGCGCTCGTCATACCTGCCTGCCCGACATTGAGAGCGCACTGGAGTTGATGCCGAGCAAGACCACGGTTGACGTAGTGACATACGGTGGACAGTAGTGCTTCGACATCGTTGTAACGTTGCACTGCGGACATACCCTCCCTGAGGTTTCAAAACCAACCTTGCTGAACTGTCGTGACAACCCTGGTCGCCTGCATCCAGCGCAAGCTTGAAAGGGATAATGGAAAATAAAATGGAAACTACTACCATGGAGAATCAAATGGAAAAGAAAATGGAAAATGAAATGGACACTAGGGAATTTAGGGGGGTTCCATGCGTGCAAAATTGTCGGGTCACTGCATGGGCCCACTGCTGGCCCTTTCACCAAAAAACATGGTGCCTGTGGGTCAGGTGTGTGTCTGACAATGTCTAAGGATTAGGCCCTTGCTGTCTGTAGGGATGCCACGTCCTTGTTGGGGTCTGGCATTTCTGCTCGTGCAGAAAGGCTGTTTCTGAGAAGTCTGGACTACTTTTGGACTCCCTTTCAATAGGATTGCAATGTATCTAGCGTAAAGAATGCGCTCTGAGAACGGGCACGCGCACGCACACGGTCTTTAGAAATCTCACGTTGGACACTACTGACAGCAGATGCGCCTTCACAACGAATTAACACATACAACAAGCATGTACTACGTTCAACTGTTCTGAAGAAACTCCAACCACAGCAAACAATACGCAGCACTACCTTTGAAGCAGTCGCACTGATTCCTGAAATCAGTGCGACTGCTTGAGAGTCAGTGCTGCTTTTTGCTTGCTGTGCTTCAGAACAGCTGAGCCATGCAACAAACCACCCAGCGCGTCACTTCTAGCCTGGCTGGGCACTGAGACAGACATCCAAGGTGCCACCGCTGCTTCCGCCTGCACAACAGGCTTTTGGTTGGTTGATCTTCTGGTCAGCTGCATATGCAAGCCTGCAAGCTGAGAATGACGAATTGAGTAACGTGCATTTTTCCGATTTTCACGCATGCAGACTTGAAGGAACTAGCTGTCCCTCTCAACAGATAGTAGGCAAACTAAGTTGGGAGATTTAAGGCAGTTTAGAAACAGGAGATCCCAATGTACTGTAGTCCTGGCTATAACACCAAGACTCCCAAAATCATGCCCTTTGCCGCTACGCAGCAAGCCCGTCTTGCATGTAGCGACAAGAAGAGCTGCCCAGCTCATCCATCCTTACATGGCAAGGTCGTCTTTGGCTTTGCATCTAGATTTGAGCTTCTTTAGGTAGCACGTCTCTGAGCGTACCAGGGAAATGTTGTGTGCTCTTGACTGCAGCCCTCTTTGATCAGCATGTAACAAACACCCACACACCCTTCAAGAGCTTTTTGCTGTACGCCTTTCTGACAGGGGAGTTCAAGGGTTCAGTGATTCATCAACCGGCAAGTAGGAAAAATGCACCATCGCATCAAACGATCAAGTGTCAGTGGGGCTGCCCACCCAGTCAGGGACCCTCTGTCAATGGCCGCTGCGGCCATGCTGAACGACGTTGCATCCGCAGCCCTGGCCATGAGGCATCATGAGGCACAAGCTCTGTTCCGCTCTGCCGCCATTGGCACACCATTGGTAGGGTTTACCAACTTCGCCTTCGTCTTACCTCTCTTTTCTGACAAACTTAGACTTAGTCACTGGCTGCCCAAGCCTCGTCAACAACAATGGTCTGAGGAGCCGTGCAGCCAGCTGCCAGCACTTGGCGGCAACGAGGGTGCCGGCGGCGGCCTAGATCTTGCAGGTCTTTGCAAACTTGAACGGCTTCTGCTAACGTCGAATTTACAGGTGGTGGTGGTGGTGGTGGTGGTGGTGGTGGTGGTGGTGGTGGCGGTGGTGGTGGTGGGGGCAGCGGCGGCGGCGGCGGCGGTGGCGGTGGAGTAGCAGTAGCAGTAGCATTAGCAGTACCTGTGACTCCGTGACATCGTCTGAATGATTGTTCTGCTCATTTTGCTCTTCGCCTGCGAAGATCTGCTCCAAAAACCAGATGAGGAACTATGGTAACTCGCGTTGAACCTATGCTGTGGAACCTTTCTCAGCCTGTCACAAAATGCCTTGCGAGCTCAGGGCCTGAGCACCGTGTGGTGCTTCGTGTATGGAATCTACAAAGCTGCAGTGGTTGCGCACTGAGCTGCATTGAGCGTCACAACCGTCCTCTCCACGTCGTGGTCTGCAATGTCTTGCAACCTGGCAAAAAGAAGCTGCATGTGTGGCCGAAGCACGGAAAAGCTCCGTCACAACTCACGAGCCTTTATAGTACAAATATCATGTATGCCAGCTATGAAGCATCTGCATGGCATCTTGCCAGAGCTTTGGCGGCTCGTAGGCATTGATGGCGGCCTGACAGGGGAGGATCATGGGTCATAAAGCATGTTTTACTTTTCTACAGATGCACTTGCGGTCAAGCAACGCTGCACAGAAGCACGTCGAGCTTCAATCCGGCCAGCTGCAGCTCCAATAGCCACTGCACTCCCTGCTGCCACTTCTCTGTTTTGGCACATGCGCCAATAGCCGCTGTGTATGTCAATGCCTCGGATTACAGGCTCTCAGCAAGTCCACAACTGAGATGCTCAGAACCGCTAGGCGCGTGAACGATGACCTGCGAGACGAGCCAAGCGGCATTGGGTTTCGTACGCTCAGCTGTAACTGAAGAGAAGCACTGAAGAGCGTGTTCAGGTTGTGTGCAGCGGACACATGCGCTCATGAGGCTACTGACCGTGACGACATCGCTTCGTAGTTGAATCTGCAGCATGTCCGAGAACAAGGCAAGAGCAGTCTCCCAGGCTCCTCCCTTTTCGCACGTGGCCACTGCTGCATTGTAGGTGATGAGGTTTGGTAAAACTTGAATTGCCATGAATTCGGCGAGCTGTCGCACAGCACGCTGCCATTGTCCAGCTTTCTTCCAGGAGTTGATGATTGCGCCGAAGGTAACATCGTCGTACTGAATTTGCTTGTGGTGCATGTCTGACAGCAGCTGGACCGTGGCAGTCCATGGACCGCTCTCTCCACAAGCGGTGATTGCAGCATTATATGCCACAACGTCTGCTGGGATTCCTTGGTCAGGACTCTGCGACCCTCTTCGGACATCTCTCCCATTTTCTTTTCCATTATCCTTACTAGTAATACTAATAGTCGTAACAATAAAAGTAATAACAATAGTACAGATCTGCAACAATGGCCGTTCAGCCGTGGTGCTGCTTGATTCAACTTCAGCAAGAAGAGCGAGCGCCTTGCATCTGTGATTGAGAAGCCCAGTATGACTACAGAAGTGAGTAGACCCTTGTTGAGTAAAGTAACGCGCTGCCATTGTCCACCCCCTTTGCAAACAGAAATCGCGGCACTGAGCATGTGAACGTTCCTTGGCATGTACATCGCGCATGTTGTGGAAAATCAAGTCTGTTGATAGGAGGTTGTTTGTTAGCTCGTTGCTCCAAGCAGCACTTGCACCATGCTTTCCTTCACCTCTGCCAGCAGATGAAGGGCTGTCTTCCAACAGCTCTCCTCAAAATTCGAGGCTTAAAGCTGCCGCTCGCAGAGCTAAATTCAAGTAAATTTGCTCCGAGACTAAGCTGCAAAGGCTTGGCTGCTTCTTCATATTTCTTGTTGTGACCTCTGCAATTACGGTGCAAGTGCAGACAACAACTTGTGCCCAACACGCGCGGCCTGTCATAACTGTTCAAGATGTCTTCCCTACCAGCTTAAACTAGTTGAGCAAATTGACTGAAAATTGGCTGCCAGTGGAATTCCCAAGCAAGCAGACATTTGGGGCTAGAGCTGCCATGGAAGCGGATCAACTCCGAATGATCCTTCAAGACAAATGCGCTGCAACCAAAGTGTCAATTTCACATGCTGATATTGCTGATGTGTAGGTCACGGCATTGGGCTCAAGCCTCGTCCGGATAATGCAGTCCAAAAGCAAAAGCGCGCACGGCCAGCTCACACCTCTTCCAGGCAAGATGAAGTAACGCCTCCCCATTTGAGGGTTTCTTCAAAGGGGTCCTTCTGTCTGCAAGAATGTTTTTTCCTCACAATAATGACCCACCCCATCAAGAGAATTACATTTGTTGGCAATTCCTCTGTGGCCTATGTGGCACTCAAGCAGTTACTTTCACTTGGAACCCTCCTGCCTCTGACACAGGAGCTGATGGCAGTGCTGGCTGTGATGATGTTGCTTTGCAAGCGTGCTGGCTGAAGGTCTGCCAGCATGCTCAGAACTTGATGCCATTTGCC